ATAGCCTTGAGTAGCTCATTGTTCATCACAAAATTTCAAAATTGATTAAAATACTTACTTTGACTACTACATAACACAACCCCAATATTCTTTTAGGTCTGGAGAAAGAACAAAAAAAAGGACTCAGTATGCATTGGTTATATGATATACAGTATAACTCACAAAATCAGCACCCTGTTGTTTCTGAACTGACATGACGACCAACATTGCTAGTTCCCCTGAATGGGATGTCAGCCAATGCCAGGGAGCCCCAGAGCATTTCTGTCAGGTTGCCCTCAGCTAACAGTTTGCCATGCACTACCCATTCATTTGCTTGAGTGGAGAGAGCCACTGTGAGAGTTAAGTGTCGTGGCTCAGAACATATAAAGATTACCAAAACTAGGCCTCACATCTGCACCACTCAATCTGGAGATTGATGAGGTGAGAATACAAGGTAAGGCACCCCTTTCTCCCCAAACTTGCACTTCTCACCTCATGCTGTACTGCACGCTGTATGAAGAAGACTAGGGGCAAGTCAGAGCTGATGGAAATTACTATTGATAACAATAGAGCACCCGCCCGGTGTTCGGGAGGTCATGGGTTTGATTCCTGTCGGGGACTCAGAATTTTTCTTTGNAAGTGTTGTGGCTCAGAACATATAAAGATTACCAAAACTAGGCCTCACATCTGCACCACTCAATCTGGAGATTGATGAGGTGAGAATACAAGGTAAGGCACCCCTTTCTTCCCAAACTTGCGCTTCTCACCTTGTGCTGTGCTGCACGCTGTATGAAGAAGACTAGGGGCAAGTCAGAGCTGATGACAACTACTATTGATAACAATACTATCAGTTCAAAACTTTTCCCAAATGTTTGCTCTAAAATTCTTACAACTTTATCTGATTCAACGCACAAGGAGTAACAGGAGTAAGAAAATAGCTGCTTTCCTAAAAGCTAGCAGAAATAAATTTAATAGTTCTAATAGGAGAAATATAGAGTCAGTAATTACCTTCTTAATCCACAAAGAGATGCTACACTCTGAAAACAGAGTCAAGGAATTTTTCCAATCCTGCTATTGTAGTGTAACACAAAAAAGTACATGTACATGGATTGCATTGCCATATTTTAAAATAACTGTTAGGTAATTCTTGATTTATCGCAACTGAAAGGAGGTTTCTTAAAAATTTGCATACAGGTCTGAATTTTGTTGCATACTTGATAAATCTGCCAGAATTGGTTTAATTTGAAATCTGGTACTGTCTACATAAAATGATGTAAAAATAAATTATGCATTAAGGCAATCTATTATGTACAGTTTTAAGGTATTTTGATGACTGAATAGAATTTAAGAGACTCTGCTCATTGACTTGCTGCAGACGAATAAAACAGCAGCTTTAACCTAAACAGCTGGTAAACAGTCTGTCATAATCAGGGTTCCAGATAATTTTTTAAGGCAGGGTGTCAATAAGGAATTCCAATGGTTTAATTCCCACTGATCCCACCAAACCATTATAAATGTTCTTTTAATTTGTCAGGTCATGTAGCTGATATTGTTGGGTCTTTGACCTGAGACCCCTCACTGGTCTGGAATGCTGCATAATAAATTCTTAGTTTCGTAAAGTAAAGGATACATGACACAATATAAGAGAGAAAGCAATAATCACGTATCCCAAAACAGCAGTTAATAAGCCTTCAAATTTGGATGATTGAAACTGCAAGATAATGATAAAAAAGCCATTCATTTGATAATGCTCTGGATAGAAAACAGATACATACACATGTTACTGATTGAGTTATCCATTGTACATGACACACTTAAGAAAAAGAAGCAAGTAGGATTATTCATTTATAGAGACCACAACCCTTCTGCTTACATAATAGTTGTTCGGCACTTCCCTTCATTCATTTCACTTCTAAGCTCTTATTGTGTGGTTAATTTTTTAAACAGAGATTACAGCTACAACCTTACAGCTTGGACTAGAGGTTCCTCTGTACCTCAAACCAATTTCAAATCTTATCTATTAATAAATTATCATGAAAGGGTTTTTTAAACTCTTGCTTACCACTTCTTCAAGAGACAAGAGAATGACTGTGAACTGGCCAATGTGGAAAGGACAGAAGGCTGTAAAATAAAACAAGCCATGCATGTTACAATCAACATGTAACCAGAAGATAAGTGACATAATCTACAGTACTGTGACATAAAGCAATCAAATGTACAGTACAATGAGTACAGTTTTAATATATGTACCAAAATTAATAATAACCGTAAGGTAAAGGTTACTTACCAAAGACCAGAATAAAGGATGTATTTAGAGAAACCACCCAGAAGACATGCTCCTAAAAAGGAAAGTCAAAAATGTTTCATAAGGATTTCAAAGGAGTAATGTATTAACAGTCATTGAAACACCTGCTCCACTAATCTAAAAGCAAACTTACCAAAAATACAAGAGAGCCATCCAGCCCAAGCATCTGCAAAGAGAGGAAAAAATTTCACGTTGAGTAGCTAGTAATATTATTAACTTGTCAGGCTGTCACTGAACTTTGTAAACTCAACCCCACCTGACTCTTTTCAGAAAGCAGTAATTGAGA